GTATGATTTGAACTTTTAAGTGAAAATTAATTAACAATTTTTGAACAATGAATACATCAAATCTTCAATTGCATTCTTATAGCTTACGCAACAAATTATAAAGTTACAATTACAATAATGATAATATAAGTAGGTACCTATGTAACTACTATTAAGTGCTATGCTTTATTATCAATTCTTACAAGTATTTTCAAATACAAGTACATTTGATTATCGTCGACCCTTAAAAATCCTCAAAGGTTCAATATTTGCTTAAAAGTAGTATTATTCCAACAAGTAAATATTATAAAAATAAATCATGTTACAAAATATTTTTGAAAAATATTACTTTTAATAATTTATTATTTCTCGATAGCTTTTTGTTAATGAGCTTTATTTGACCTTTAACCGTAAATGCATTGGGTCGCTATAAATTGCGGCCCATTTTTAATTTTTATGAATATTGCGGCCCTGGCATATTTTGTACATACGTAAACTGCTGCCTGGCTATATTTTATATATACGTAAATTGCGGTCTGGGTCTATTTTATACATACGTAAATTCTGGTCTGGATATAATTTTTATTACCTACCCAAAATTTTTTTATTTATAAGTAATAATTACGTTTAATCAACTTTACCTCTTGAGTTGTTACAGATTCGACATCAGCATTTTTTCATATATCATCAACGGCTTTTCTTTTAAACTGTTGTTAAGTTTCTGTCGATTTATTATTTGTTTCGAAATTTTCAAATGACTTGTGTAATCTTTAAAACTTCTATACAAATATTATTATCATTAAATTTCAAAAAACACTTATAAGTTTTAACTGTGCAACACCAGCGCTGAATATCATTTTTTAACATTTTGTGAAAATGAAATTTGAAACTATCAATTACTTTCAACGTTTTATTCCTTTCGCTGTTCATAATGTCCATTTTTATTAAATTGAAAAAAATGCAAACTGTAGACTGCATATCATAGGCGGACATTTGGTTGAATTTTTTTTTTGAGGGGGGGACTATAATAATTTAATATAAAATAACCCGCAGGAGTTTCGCCTCCACACCCCCTTTCCATGCACAAGTAAAACTTATTACTGTTAAAAATATAGATGTGTTTAAATTGTATTAAAAAAAACACTAAATAATGTATATTTAAAAATAATTAATATTTTATTTTAATGACAAATATCTATTTATACCAGCAAAAATATTCAAAATATCATTTTTTATATTTTTCAATATACAGTACTGAAAGATCGCCGAACCAACGATGTCCTAAGCCAAGTTTTTATTTTTTTCATTGCACTGAAACTTCTTTTGCAAGTAGCTCAACTAATTGGTATTGTTAATCCTATTATAAATAGTATTTTATTATTTCTTATTTTACGATTTTCAAAAAAAGTGAACAGATAATTAAAAAAAACAGCAAATAACATTTCTAACAATGTTTCGATTTTGGAGGGGCTATTAAAATATTTGGGGGGGAGGCTAAGCCTATGTCCGCCTATGCTGCAAATAGACTGTAGAGCAACGTAACGTAAGACCTCGTGCATAAGGTCTTCGATCAAATGCACACTGGCTGCTAGTTATATATTATATTAGTGAACATATTATTATTATCTACATCTATCAATCAGAGATTAATACTTATCTTTAAAATGTACAGCCAACCGGAAATCGGAATATCTCAGGCCGAAATTTACGTGCATTTCAAATATACCCGGGACGCAATTTACCGATTCCGAATGCATTGATATATACACATACATACATACATATATATATATATATATATATATATCTTATAAAAACAATATTCGATATAAATATACTAGTTATCAGTTTTATCTTTACCCTATGGACACCTGAGGCACGTGCCCAGGGCCCCCATCTACTGGGGGCCCTGAATAATAGAAATTACAACTTTGAATTTTAATCTATAACGTATTAATACGACTGTCTATAAAAAAAATAATTCTTAGTTGTAAAAAAAATTTTTAGATAAATAGCAATGTTAAAATTTTAATGTCAAATAAATAGTGAACACTTAAATGTGTGTAATTCCATTAGGTATATTTTATTTTTCATTCCATTATTTAAAAAGATTTTTCTTTAAAATGAATAATTCATATCTTTTGGTTACACAAAATAAGCTTTTGATGTTTTTACTCATCTTTTTTTGGTTTACTAAAAAGACCCCTAAGCTCTAGGTACCCATGGGCCTTTGCATAGCCTAAAATGGCCTTGCCAGTTATCTTAATATTTCGGAATTAAATGAAATCATTGATTATAAATGTCCATGACAGGTACGATAATAGTTATTATTATAATACAATTGAGTCGCGATAACTCGAAGTTGAAGGGGCATAAAAATTAACTTCGAGATATGTATTATTTGATATATCTAACTAATTTATAGGGGAAGAAAATATTAGGGGAATAAAACACAATTCGAATTGTCAAGTTTTTCGAGTTATCGCGACTCGACTGTATTATGAAATCGATTATAACCAAATTAATATTGATATTAATTACCATTTTTTTTTTGTGAGTTAATATTAAACAAATTATTTGATTGGAGTACAATTTTCAAAATATTATGTTGGTACGAGGTCTAAAATAAGTATCAATAATTGTTATATAATATATAACAATTTCACCATATTATGGTGAAAAAAAAAGTTCTCATTTGGAAAACGTTGTTATATATTGAAACTTAAATTTGTATTATCTACTCACATATATTTATACTCGATGTATGTTACATGTACATAATAGTTGTACAAGAATTAGTATAATATGTATGTTAGTGGTCGACCTTTATTGTCTTTTATTGAATTGGTTAACCTCTCTAATCAAAGATTTAAGAATTCATATCACTATATTCACCTTATACGAAAGTGATGCTCATGTTTATTTACAATTTATTCAACTATTACTGCTTTGCAGTTTATACTTGTATGTATAAACTATAATTTAACATAGGTACTACTGATATATTGTTTATTGATACTACGGATCTGTATAAATTAGTTTCATAAATAAATTATAAAAAAAAAAGTTGATATAATACCTGTTGAAATATAGATAGGCAGATTATTATTAATATTCTCTATAATTCGATTTTTAGTAGGTTGGTGGGTGGTATTGGTTATGCTTGAACCACAAATTGAAAAATGTCAAACCGCCTATGATTATATCGTATACGTGTTGCGAGAGTTCTTTGAATCTTTTATATTATTTTATATTTTTGAATATTAAACCAACACTTAAATAGTGTACACAGTACACTGTAGAAACCACAGTAAATAGAACCGTCTATTCGTAGTCTCAAGTAGATACAGTTAATACAGTAGCTCCATCAGGTTTCAGCCATCCTACTAATTATGTTATTTTTGTTATTCCCATTTTGGTACTCGTCTAATACGCTACCTACTCAGGGCCGTATTTAGGGGGGAGCTACAAGGTGCTGTTTCCCGGAGCGGCTGAATATGAAAGGGCAGCTATTTTTTTTTATATTTTCAATATTCAATGATCTAATATTTTTAAAGTGAAACTTCTTTACAAAATAAAAAGTGCATCTCAAAAAAAAATATATATCGCCAATCACGGCGTCACAACACACACATACACGCGCACGTTCAAAATTACGTTATTTATATTGACTATTTGACATGGACGCGTATGAAACGCGACGAAAAGCGTCCCCGTACGCGGTGCGTATTAAACGCGACCGTGCAGGCTATTACATGCAGTGACAGGTTTCACATCGTACGTGCGCTGATCAAATGTTGAAAAATGGTTTTCATATTATGTTTTACAAGTTTTCAAACACGTGCAGTTTTCTCTTAACAAGTTCGTACACATTGAGAAATTATATTACACTTCGACGTGAACCCAAAGTCTTTTAGCACGAATTTTTTTTAGCCATTTCTTTTTTATTTAAATAATAATACCATGTTAAAAGTATAAGCCGCTTTTCTCTTTGATTGTTCATATTCAGTTTTAAGTGATAGGTCATACGTGTTGTCTATACTGAACTAAAACTTTAAATGACAAACTTTCTACCCAGTCAGTTTAATACGTGAACATGTGAATACAACGAAGTGTCGCGTTTTAATACGCGTCATATGCGCGTTTTCATTAGCGCGCGTACGATACGCGTCCATGTGAAACGAGCCTTACAAAGTGTTTTTATTTGTACGGTTGAATTTTTTTTTCCATTCAATTCAAAAAAAAAAAAAAAAAAAATGACAATGAGTTAGGTACAACGTAATAAGTACTTACCCTTTTTATTTTAAAACCATGCTATTAAATTGTAACAGTTAACAATTTAACAATGTACTGTTATAGTCAGTGGTGTACATACGTGGGGGGGGGGGTCCGGGTTCAAACCCCCCAGGACCAAAAAAAAAAAAATTGTTTTATTATTGATGACATGTAATATATTCGTAGTTTCATTATTACACTTTGAACTTATACTTTGAAAATATACAACTATACAAATATTATGATAATTAAATAATTATATTGATAGGTGTTTGAAAAGTTTTGTTAACTATGCTGTTTTTATATGTTTGGAATAGCTCTTAATTTACTGTAATGTAAAAGTAAACTGTAAATTGGTAAAAAAAGTTGTAAATAATATCTATAAATATCTAAAAAAAAATAATATCAATAAATAATATCTATTTATAGGAGTTATTTATCCTATTTAACCGTGCAACGAAAAAAAAAGATAACAATTATTTTTGTCCCCCCCCCCCGACCAAGATTGAATGTACGCCACTGGTTACAGTAAATTACTACATTATAATGTTATATTTTTCGATTTGTTAATTAATCATATTGTATTGCTTCTCAATAAAATTAATTTAAACGAGTTCTAACGTAACAGCTCCCACCCCCACTGTATCACACGGTCATGCGCAACATTCAAGGGTTAGCCCGCGCATGCGCATCGTAGCAGAACCGTGACTGTGATAGTGCGATGTTAAATCGTGCGTTTATATCATTTGCACTGGCATTCATTCAGTCGATGCTCGGCTGAGTCGACTTCGTTCGCAACTCGGTAATTGTGTTAGTTGCCACCGGACCACGTGGTCGCAGTCTCACGTAATTGTGATACTAAATCGTAGTATCTAAACCGTGACGTATTTTTTGAACCCATCTAAGTACATTTTGTGTTCAACTCCTCTATCTATCTGCATAACCGTGCTGTAAGTAACTTATTAAGTTTTTTTAAAAAATAATTTGATAAAAAAAATCAGTTGATATATGTATGTTGTAGTTAATTGTATTAGTAGTTATCGTTTTATGAATAATACCTTTTAAAACGAAATTTGTATGAGTGTTAATTAACGCAAATTATGACTTCATATGTATTCACTTATGTGTTAAATATCGTTCATATGGATTAAATCTTCATTTATTTCACACTGCCAAGTCACTTCCAAATGTCAGTGCAAAGGATAAACTCGAGTTGGGTTTTAGATTTCGAAAACAGCATAAATTGGGTCTGGAGTATTTTATGGAGTACATAAATTGGGTCCCCGTTTATTTTATGGAGTACACGAGTTGTCTATTAGCGTTACCAGGGTTGGAAGACGAGGATTCATCCCCTGGTGTAAAATTTTAGAGGGTGTAATTTTTATAATTATTAACAACTAATTTGATATTTTTAACTTTGTTAAATACTGATATTAGGTTAAAACTCAATAAGTATGATTGTATATAAATTATTAGAAAAAAATTCTCGAGAAGAGTATTTGATTATTGTTCTATGATAGGGCGTAATTTTAAAATTTTATCTGGGAGTAAAAATTCCTAGTTCCATCTCTGAGCGTTACCCAGGAAACACCACGTGGAGATTGGCTATAATGTTTCCCAAAAATTTTGTTTTTTGTTACGTTAAGTTAACGGTCTGATGTAAAAATTATTAAAATATTAATTACAATTATTATTAAATTATATTTTTTCTTTTTATTGCAAATATTTTTATTATAATAAGTTAATAATAAGTTTAAGCTAGAGAATAAGTTTAAAAGACACGTTTTTTATAAAATTTAACCGAATCAATTCTCCACAAGTAACACAAAGCTTTTTTTCTCTTAAATATTTTCTTTCTCTGCTGTTTTTTTTGATTGGCTGTGTGGCTAAGTTCCGGAGTGTAACCTAAATTTCACTAAATTCCAAGTAAAATTTCTATTAAAACAAAAATATTGAGGTGAGCTGCACTAGTCCTAGCATTTAATTTTGTATGAAAACTTTAAATAATACATAAAATAAAGATATTACCACGGACCGAATTCGATTAGGTATTATCAAATAATATCGCGGACCCATTTGAGTACTGTCGATTAACACCACGGACTTAACTCCAACCAAGTGTTTATTTTAAGCGATCAAATACCTCGGGACCCAACTCTCGTTTTCCCAGTCCAAGAAGTTTATTTTCTCTTATAAGTCGTACAATTAAATATTATTCTTAGGTTCATCATTGCATGATTAATTAAATTAATTGTACAAGATAGCACTTATACAAAACACTTACTTATCACCATTATAATAAATGTTATGTAAAATCCTACAATCAAGTCCTTTAATTTCCAAACATATTTCCTGTATATTAAACAACAACACGTTACCTTGAACAAAGTTGGCTAAGTTACTTAAATAACACTCAAGATATCTATATCTAACACTGCTTTTTTGGTTCATCATTGAAAGTGGTTTCAAGAGACGCACCCTTCCTTCGCACTGTTACGTTTAGTGCATATATAGTTTTTGTATTTACTTATTGTATTATACTTGCTAACAGATTATACATTTTATTTAATTAAAGCAAAAAAATTTAATCTAAAAAAAAGGAAAGGTGAAATTTAATAACGATGTAAATTATACAAATTAACGAAATAATAGAAATTTTTTTTGTATTAGCTCTTGAAAAATGTCCAGTGTTTGATTTTGGTATCCAGTCTTTGGGTTATTGTATTGTAAGAACATAGAATCTTATAGAAAACAAAAAAATTTCTAGTTTTTCTTAAAATATAATATTAAGATATAAATAGATCCTTCATTTTATTTATTTTCACAATTAAACACATTTATAAATCTATTTGTTTGTTTAACGTTAACGTTTTTTGATCTCCAATTATTATAATGAACGACATATTTTATTATATGTTTCTCATTCTATATATTCACATAAAACAACGAAAAATCATTAATTCAAATATACAAACCATAAAATATTGAATTAATAATTTTTTGTATAAAAATATAAACGATTAAAAGACGAAATTTAACATGATTTACCTTTTGTTTTCACTTTTTTGGAAAAAATATTCTCTAATATACAGTAAATCGATTGGAAAATCAAAAAATTTGTTTTAAATAAAAATGAATAACTATGGTAGTTTTATTATTTATATTAAAAAATATATATAATTCAATCATATCACTTAGTTTTACTTTTAATTTAAACACATTTAAATGTCCAGTATTTGCAACTTTTCCCCTAAATCTTAATTAATTAATTCTATTATAAGAATTTATGACTTCATTTTTCTATTAAGTATTTTTATTTTTTTTAATTTATTTATTTTTATAATATAGGTACCTATATTTAAGTTTTACAAATTTGCAATTATTTATTTACTTCAAAATTACTTAATATAAATTATAAATTATTTAGCTATTCAAATCATTAATAGCATAATAATTATTAATACGAATTTTGTTGACGATGGTTGGTTAATTTTTTTCATTATACATTACCCTAATATATATTCATATGCAATAAACGTTATACGATTAACCAATCGTAAATAATTGAGTATAAACTAAGTAAGAAGTCTTACACATCACGTCACCACTTAATATAATTAATAAATCTTATTTTGAATTAATAATAGGTTAAAATAAACAAACATACAAAATATACGTTAAACATATACCTACCTATTAATGATTTAACTCGTGATAAAACATTAATTTTTTTTTGTTAAGTTTTTATTTCTAATGCTCTTTCAATATTTTTATTGTTATTGATTCGTTATTTTGTTTTTAATGAGTTAATAGCATACATTTTTAATCAAATGAGAAAAAAAATGATTTTTTAACAAAAAATATTGTATTATATATCAACCATGAAATTACAACTATTACTTATCAAATCAAATTGTATGAATGAGTTATTTTATTTCTAGTTAGGCTTAATTTTTTTTTTATTACTTTATTAATATATAGTCGAAAATTAGTCCCTGTGTTTAAAAAATTAAACAAAGTTAAGTATTAGATCAGTCATAGAACTAATAAATTTGATGTATAAATTAAAATATTAAAAATCATAGTATATATAATCAAAACATTAAGTATTTTTAAATTGTCTAGATAAATAACATTACAAATTTATTGTTAACACACTTTATTACAAAAAAATAAATATGGAATGTATTGATTTTAATACTTTGTGTATATATGTACATATATGATTTGTATAGTTATTTTTTTTGAAATTTACTTTGTTTTGGAACCGTTCAGTAAACAATTATTATATACTTTATTTTTTGTCAGTTCTGTCACGTGCACCAACATAAAAAAAAAGAATAAATAAATGGATAAATGGACGTGTATGTTTTTCCTCTCTTCCAATTTAGTACCATCATATTTTTGTTTTACTTACGTGTACTTATAATACTAATGAGTTTGTATTGTAGTTAAATATATTAAATTTATTTCGTGTTAAACTTTTAGTCATTTTTAAACCCACAATTTTAATAAATTTGTTAATTTTAATTATTATTCAATCCTTCCGCCGGTTAATTACTTACGTTTTGACCTCCTCGTGACCCTGAGGCAGCATCCAAATCGGGTCCCGAATTTAAAATTACTATACTAGTTGGGTCCCGAATTATTTTTATTAAAATAATGTACTATTTTATAAGCATGCATAAGAACAATTACACTGACATCGACCACATGATAAAAAACTCCCATCCAATGGTGGTTCATAATATAATGAATTTAATTAAATTTCTTGGCTAAATTTAAGTTTTTTTTTTTAAATATAGAACATTATTTAATCTGTACTCATATGGTACAATAGGTATAAGGTATAAGGAAATATGATTAATAAGCAAAAAATAGTATTAGTAAATTTTAATAAGAATTTACAAATATTTTTTACTTATATAAATAATACTAATATTATTTTTTTATTAAAAATAAAAATGCGAGACTTGAAGAGGCTACTAAGCGACAGTACTTCGGCGGGAGTTTATTAATTTTAATTTTTGTTTTTTATTAATGGAGATTGTTGTAGTTTGAGAGTAAAGATAGTATTGATTTATTTTGTTTTATTTATTTTTACACGCTATTGAGAGTACCAAGGTAGTATAGTAGGTGATACATTTTTAATTTTTTTTTTTAATTTTTTTAATTAAGACTTATTTTTACAGATTGAAATGTAAGTATTTTATTTTCTTTATTAAGTTAGGCATATACATGTAGTTTTTTATTCTCTTTATTCATACATAATAAAAGAACAAATAATATACTTATATAAGGATTTTCTAATTGTAAATGATTATTACATGAATGTTTTATTTTTGTTTCAGTAAAAATGGCATATTCAGATAACCCAATATGTCATAAGAAAATCGATCCACACTTTGGAACCAAAGCCATCCACGTGGGTCAAAATCCCGATCAATGGTCATTCAAAGATGTCGTTCCTCCTATTTCATTAACTACTACTTACAAACAATTTGGTCCTAACGATCATGCAGTAAATAGTTTCATTATTAATATTATACCGTATTTACCGGGAGTAATTATTAAGTGACTTTTTCAAAATTGTACCGAACATGGACTAAATGTATAATTACACATTCTCTTGTTTTTATCTATAAACCACTTAGTTATATACTCTTTGTCAATTTACAAAATTATAAACCCCGTAGCGGCTTGAAGACAAATTTTTAATGAAAAAGATTATAAATTAAAAAAAATTCGACATTTGGCGCACTTTTAAAATGATACTAGTGATTTTTCATTCAAACTTGTAACCCAAAATTACGTGATTTTTTTTACAGGGATTCGATTACAGTAGATGCAGCAATCCATCTCGAATGGTTTTACAACAATGTATTGCTTCCCTTGACTGCGGCAATCACAGTTTAACTTTTGCTTCTGGTCTGGCCGCTACTACAGCTGTAGTTCAGTTGTTGAAATCTGGCGATCACATTTTGTGCGGTGACGATATGTATGGTGGTACCAATCGTTATTTTTCCAAAATTGTCAAGAAATTCGGAGTGACATTCACAACAACCGACATGACAAATGAAAAAAACATCGCGAAATTAATTTTGCCAGAAACTAAGGTACTTACAGTTATTTTTATTATTTTTATTCATAGTTTTTATAACAGTTATTATATTATATTGTCAGTAAACGTTATTAAAATAAATAAAATCTATAAATGTTTGCATAACATCATCAGTTTATTTCAATTTTCAATCTTATTTCATAAAGCTATCACAGTTTATAGTTGACCTTAAACGGCACACAATGACTTCGAGGTTAAAAGGTTTTAACATTTTCTACGTGCACATAGCACGTACTAAACATCAATAACCCGCGTGTATTTATACTCAATCTTTCATGTACGAACATTTTTGTGCAAAATTATTTTATAAGTTTTGTTAGTAAGCACAATAAAGTCATTATATGAGATTATTGAGATTATACTTCCTTTGTGCTTGTCAGTATTGTCTAATTGGTGGGATCATAGGCGTAACTTGAAAATTTATTAGGGGGGGGGGGGCAAATATATAATTACATATCTAACGAAAAGGGTGTCCGCGGTTAAACGCCGCTTTACTACCTACATATTATTGAATACAATCATTAATTTTTTAACATTATGTTAGATAAGCGAAAATGTAAAAGAATTTTTAGAAGAAGATTTAAAAGAAAAATGTATAGTAATACCTATAACCAGCTGTTTTGTATTTATTTTAAAATAAGGTATGTTAAATATCAAAGGGGGCACTTCCCCTTCTAAAATAACCCCCCTTTCCCCCCAATTTACGCATATGTGTGGGATGGTAAAGGGCATGAAAGGGGTGTCCGTGAGAATTCTTATACTATCTTGGTATAACAAAATAATAAAACTGATTAAATACTCTTGCCGTTTATCCTAAGTCAGAAAATTACCAGGGAGGGTGAGATCCAGTATGAGATCTCATGGTGGTCAACCTGTTCATTTATTTTTAAAATATGTTGAAAAACATATTGTTGTATACTGAAAATGTATAGATATTAATATTTTTTAAATAAGTATTGAATTTTAAGTTTTTATATACATTTATGGTTTTATACAGTATGTTCTATTTATTTTAATATTTTTTCTCCTTATTGACTTATTTTTTTGGTGATAAACAATAATATTTTTACTTGATAATACTAAACAAATATATTGGTATATACTAAAAATTAATAAGTATTGAATGTATTCACTAATATATTTTTATGTGAAATTTCTTTGACTCGATCAACATTTTAATAAATGAATTAAATTGTATGTTTAATAGTTGATACACATAAATGCCTTATAAGATATTAAATACGACATATAGATATATAGATATATTAGTATATCAAGCCGGTCCCACGCGAATCGTGTACTCGGTGAATAATCGTCAAGTATAGTATGGTGATCATTTTTACTTGCCTAGTTACGCGTGGATTCTTATCGGTTGTCGGTAAATGTGACATAAGTCAAAGAAATGATAAATAATCGCGTTTATTGATAGGAAAGTGTACGAGTAGTATAGGAACGACTAAATTGTCAAGTCAAAATACTCGGCGAACATACGAGATTACGATGCTTGTCAAGTACACAAATCGTGTGGAACTGGTTTTACACATGTCACATGATTATATTTAATCAAACTTAAAATAGTAATTAATTTACGATACTTACTACTACTATTATTATTGTTTAAGTTGAGTGTATTCGAGTATTTACATTTGTTTTCAAGTGTCTAATAAGTTTATTTTTGTAATTATTATAGTTAGTATGGATGGAGAGTCCTACAAATCCGTGTATGAGAGTTGCAGATTTGGAAGCTATTGCAACGATAGTTCATAATATACGAAAAGATATTATCGTATTGGTCGATAATACTTTCCAGACTCCTTATTTTCAAGTAAATAATTCGTTACACCTAAATACTAAGTAATACTAAATAACTAAGTTTTAAATTAACTCTCGGTTTATCATTCAACCTATAATATTTCATCTAAACACAATGGTAAAACCAGTGCTCAAATTGAGGGAGGACGCAAGGGGACGGAGTACCCCAACTAATTTTCAGAAATGTTAGCGTCCCCCTACTATTATTATGTTATAATTATAATGCTTAACAAGTGTTGGGGACGCTCTGTTTTTTAAAGTAAATAGAGTCCCCCTTCTTTAATTTTTCCAAGTCGAGCATTGGGTAAAACATGTTTAAGTAATTCCTATTTGATTTGAGATTAAATAATTTAAATAATAATTATATTTTTACATTTGGAGTATTCTTTGTGTTGAAGCCAGCGTTTAGTAATACTTGGAAAGGATCATGGTTAATGAAATTGATGATTTATTTTTAATATACACTAATTCTTTATTTATTTTTGATAATAGCCAATTTAGTGTCGATTATAAAAGTGTTTGTAATGAGTATTTTCATTAATCACTAATTTCATTAAACCTCATCTTCGTCTCGCCTTATCTGGGGCCCAAAATTTGTATGTACCTTCGTAATCTATATTATATTATTGTCTCCCTTCCCAATAAAAATTCCAGATGATTTATAAACTTATCCATCAAGTCAAATCAGAAAATATTAAGTATTTTAACGATTTCGTACTTCAGTAACCATCTCATGTGTAACAATATTTATTTATCTATTATTTATTTGTGTAGAGACCTCTTGAATTAGGTGCAAATATTGTGCTTTACTCGCTGAGTAAATACATGAATGGTCACTCCGATGTAATAATGGGTGCTCTTGTCTTAAACGATAAAGAATTATACGACCGTCTTGCCTTCATTCAGAACTGTAAGTGCAATTATTCGTATTAATTAATAATTATTAATATCATGTTGTATCATACCGGTTGTTGAATTGTGTATCAACTGCAGATGTTTTGACAATTTTCCCTGGTGATCGGTGTACCCAAACACATGTTTAGGGTGTTAAAAATTTCCCCTGCGTAAATTTGTATTTCATTTGACTTTCGTCGTTTTAGCTTGCGGTATTATGTCGTCGCCGTTCGACTGTTATTTGGTCAACCGTGGCCTGAAGACATTGCACGTGCGCATGAAGGAGCACATGACAAACGGGCTAGCCGTGGCACGGTTCCTTGAACAGCATCCGCTAGTCGAGAAGGTTTTACACCCCGGTTTGCCATCTCATCCACAGCATGCGGTGGCATTGCGCCAGGCCAGCGGCTTCAGTGGCATGTTGTCTTTTTACATCAAAGGTGGTTTGCCTGAGGCTACTGCATTTTTACAGGCCGTGAAAGTATTCTGCTTGGCCGAGAGTCTCGGTGGATTTGAAAGTCTGGCTGATCATCCGTAAGTGTTTCATTTGCACATTGTATTGTAGCATTTGTAATATATTTATTTAAGTCCCAATGGGGTGAAGTACAAAAAAAAAATAATTGTTATAATTATGTATAAGACTTTCGTATTTTCGACTTACGTCTTTTCCAATGGTTAATAGTTATTTGATATCAAGTGTGGATGTTTTTAATTTTATAATGGTGCTTTTGACAATCGTAGATAGGCTAACCCGAATTTTTACAGTTAATTTTTTTTTTTTTTATATAAATATAAAACTATTTATTTGATATATGTACCTGGTTTAAATTTTGTACATTTAAACTCTCCGTTGATGATCTTAAACTTTACTATTTATCGCTTTAAATATTGTTTTCTATTGCAAGATTTAAATATACTGTCCATATGGTATACCAATAATTCTCTAAACCGGAATGCAACTAAATTCTCTAAAGTATCATTTCATAAAACTAAATCTAAAATCACATTTAATTATGTATGGATAATAATATTCTGCATGAATATGATAGTATTAAAGATCTCGGCGTCGCATTTCAATCAAACCTTCAATTTTCCTCCCATATCTAATAGATAAGTTTTTAAGCTATTAAAACTCTTAGATTTTAATTTAGGTTTACAAAATCGTTTGATGATGTAAACTGCCTCAAAGTTATTTTTCGTGCCTTGGTACGTCTTATTTTGGAATATGTGTCCATTATATGGAATCCTACTACAATATATTTTATAGAAATGCTTGAACGATTGCAAAGAAAATGTTATTAAAATCTTAAAACCTTAAAACTCAATTCTTTCTTAGCTCGTCACAATGTATCAGATATATTACCCTTCTTAGTTGAATATTGAATCTTATCACCTCTTGTTCTCCAATTTTTGAGTGTAATTCGTTTTACGTATCGCAATACAATACTAGCTCCAGCATTCCATACTACAACTCATCGTATAAACTATGAACAAAAAAATAATCCACAATAGACTCCTAACATTGGGAAACATCTAATTATGATTTGTTTTTAAATTAAATAAATAAATCTGTACCTAAGCCCAGTGTCAGATCTAGGAAATTTGCGCCCGGGGCTAGTAAAAATGCAACGCTCTTTCTTAAGTGGAGGCACGGGGTGTGTTCTTGACTTTCAATTGTTCATAAACTTAAGAGCACCATTATATCAACAGCGCCTAGGGTAAGCATACCCACTTGTCCCCCTCTAGATCCAACATTGCTTGAGCCTACCAGGCATTTATCCAAATAAATAAATTAAAAAAAACAATACAATTTTTAAACGTTATTCAAACAAATTGTTCCATGTTGGCTGACATGACGCATGGATGCCAAGAAAAAATTTCATTTTCTCACCAGTGAAAACATTGTTTTAAACCAACGTTTCTCTGTGTACGGTAATACATTTCTAACGCCAAAATCCCTAATTACGCAAAGAAGTACACATTTTTACTAAAGTCATCCTCGGTTAATTTTTAATTTTTTTTGTTATACAGAGCAACTATGACTCACGCCTCGGTGCCAGAAGATGAACGAATAGCCTTGAACATCTCGGACAACTTAATTCGTTTGTCTGTAGGATTGGAATCCATAGAGGATCTTATTGCCGACGTCGACCAAGCTCTAAAAGCTTCAGCCAAGAAATAAATGCGTGTTTTAGATAATGTTATTTTGTATTATTGTTTAAATTTAACGTCTTGTTAACAGATTGTTATGTAACACAGATTTCGGGTGAATAAAAATTATATCGTACACACGAAAACTATATTAAACTGGACTTATTATTCTGATTTATTTTTGGCGCCACATAATTGAAACGCTTGATCTAAATCATCGATCAAGTCCTGCACATATTCCAAACCAATGGACAATCTAATGAGGTTGTCATGAATACCCAACTGCCTCCTTTCTTCGTCCGTCAGTGAACCATGTGTCATTTTACATCTGGAAAACATGATGAAAAATTTAAATTGTTTTCGGACGTACGCTGTGTGAATTTATACCAACTGACGAAACTACAGACAAGATATCGGTTTTCAATTTCGTCAAAATTATGTTTGCTTATGATACTTTCAGTATTGATATATAAACTTTCGAATGACAAAATTAAAAATAATAGAAATACTTGGTAGTTATTTGGATTAAGAAAACTAAATTTTTTTTCATTCATTTAATTTAAATACTATTAACACTGTTGTTTATTTTTCGACCAACAGTGTATTTTATGGCTTTTTTTTTACAATTAACTAGTTTCAATACGAATCAAATATATATATACCCCCAGGCGTATATTTTAGAATTTTTTCTCAAAATAAAGCCTAATCATTAATTTATGTATATATATGTAATATTAATTTTATACTTATTGAGCAAAGTATCATAATTATGTAGTTTTCGTAAAAAAAAAATGCATTCTGCGTATTTAAATCAACGCATCTTCCATTTAATAATTACTAGAGCGCGGATTAATATAAATTAAAAGCCAATTAAATATGCGCTAAAATATTAAGATATGCACGAAAAATAAAAAATTATGTATAAAAAATAATTTGTCGAAATCAGTGCTTCGCATAAATCTGCAGAAAATTAAGTTCATTACATTTTTCAATGTTGTAGCATTAGTGAATAAACTTTAAAAATAGGGTTGTTTATTCTGTTGTAAATTCACAGATTTTAAATGTATTTCAGTTTTAATATGTTGTGTAATTGAATACCGCTTATCGTGGGAAACTTTTATTTCACATAATTTGCACAGTATGATTTGACCATCAGTTGAAAAAATATTCTCCCCAAAATTCATGCTTACGAAGACGACTCGATAACGAAGATTTCTTTCGGCATTTCGAAAAAAAATAAAATAATAACGCGAATTACGACACGAGCACACACGAACGCATAACTGTTAATATTTTAATGGTACTGAAAAAGTGAAACAGAGGTGGGTCGTTACCATTGTATTCGGTACAATGTAACGATTACATAGATGAACGAATAGGAAAGAGTACATTAATCATTCCACGGTCGTTCCATCGGTACATTCGGTAAAAATTTTTAAATTACAAATAATTATAATAATAATAGGTCTATGGTACGAAGTGAAATAATGTCAATGGTCAATTATGGTCATAATCGATATTTTTTTATCTTAGAATACGTATTTTATTTCCCCCGATTATTGATCTAAGGTTATATTTGGGAAAATCGTTTGTACCCATAAGCGTGCACACGGGGTAGTCAGGGTCGGTACTTGACTATTCTGTGAAACTTCCCACCCTCACCAAAATATTCAATATGATCACAATAATAAATAAACATATTATTTTCAACCACTTCGAAACATTAGTTAACGTTAAAAAAATGTAAGAATACTGGAGAAATATAGTTATTAAGTTAAATGAAGTTACGAATGCAAATTTTTTGTTAATATTAAATGATAATGTGTTATGTTTGACTACCCTGCCACTTATGTCTGCACACGCTTATGTTTGTACCTACAAGTATACCTTATTTTTATATTAAACGAAAATATAAAAATATAATATTTTTAATATTTTTTCTTATATTATAATATTATATATTTCAAAAATGTCTAAAAAAAAACAAAAAATATAAAATACGCTATTAAAATTGTAAAATAAGCCCTTAAAATAGAAAAATGTCAAAATATGCAATAATATGCGTTAAAAAAGTTTCATTTTTTAAATTGTTATGTTATGAAACAAATGTTGTGCTCACTTAGCATATCATGTGATCAGCCAGAATAAATATGCAAATACATACAAATCCGCGCTCTAATAATTACACTTTTATTTGTTTGTAAAACTCACGGTAAAGCAGCCAAACTTTCGTAACATCCAAGACTGCACGTAATACTAAACAACTTTAACGATTCCAAAAAACACGTGCTTTCTTTTATACTGCCATTAATATAAAATGACACCAACCCGTTGTAGCCGGTAAATTGTTTTTGAATGATTTTATATTGCGGATGATTCGGAAGTCCCATGAAGAACACTTTTAGCACTTTAGGGTGTAATTCTAAATACTTGGCCAAAACCATTGCACTAGCCATATGCTTTTCCATGCGAACTTGTAATGTTTTTAATCCACGGTAAACTAAGTAACAATCGAATGATGATGGTATATTACCACACGCTGAAAATATAATTATTTTGAATATTTATTTCTCAGATAATTTCAATACATTTTGAAAATATATAGGTATTTATGAACAAAATATTAACACGAATTCTGATTACATTTGACCACATTGTTTTTCACGCTACGTTTAATGCGCAATAAGTACTCGCTAATCAGTGGCATATTTTTAGTGGGAAGGGGTTACCCGGGTCTCAATGGTTACAACCCCTTCTATAAAAAAAAAAAATTTAAGTCATAAATTACTTGCTATGAAAGTACAAAGAAAGAAAATATTAATTTATATCTTGTAGTTGTAAATAACTCTTCATTTGTATTTGTAATAATATTATTATCAATTTATATCTTGTATATATTTTTTATACTATGAAATCGCTTATTTTTTAAAAAAATTTTAAACTGCTCCACAAAAAAATTGAAATACGCCACTGCCGCTAACATTATGTTTTGTAATATAAATTTCATTAACATTCACTTACTGTATTGTAAAAAGTACAGTTTATCATATATGTCTTTGTTGTTAGTAACTAATGCGCCCATTAGTACATCTGAATGTCCATTCATATATTTACTTAAAGAATACATGATGACGTCTACACCAAGAAGTAAAGGTTTCTGTATGATATACGAACAAAAAAAGAAAAATTATTAAATTGCTTTATTTTATGATTTAAAAGCAAGGGTGTATTTGAGGGGGGCGAAGGAGCAGAAGCGGACTGGCCACGGGAGTTAGGGAGATTTATTTCCCTGGGCCTCTCATAGATACTAATACTAAAAAAAAAATAAAGCCAATACAATGTAAATAATATTATAATATTAGGAAAATTACATTAACATAAATAATATGAAAATACATAATTAATTCACTTCCAACTTATTATTGTTCGGAAATATAAAAATAAATAAGAAAATGTGATTTGTGTAGCTATTTTGGTCAACAGTAGAATACGATTATAAAGTTTTATTATTATTAGGAATCATAAAACGGCATGTTTCATAGTTTCATTGTTATCGTTATCGCCATTTGAACGATGTATTGGAAATTTGGAAATCAGTTTATCTAAATACAGTATAATTATTAGGGATGGGAATTCAAATTCATTCTGCCAACTCTTTGTTTGAATCAGATTACCACTATTCTAATCAAATCTTCAAGTCTCGACTTTTGATTCGACTCACAAGTTCACAGTTCATATTCATGAATAGCTTATCCAGGAGAGGGCCTAGGCGCCAGGGCCCCCCAGACATATTATTTCTCAAATTTTTTTTATAATTCTACACATCGTGATATTACTATTGAAGATCAATTTCCATCAACAGCAATAGACGCCTTAAATAAATGTGATCCAAATATATTTTCTACAGTATACCAGTTTCTAAGTATAGTTTGTACATTATCAATGAGTGTAGCTACTGCAGAACGAAGTTTCTCTACTCTAAGACGGGTAGAAACCTGGCTACGCTCTAGAATGCAGGAGGATCGCCTTACTTCTTTGTGTTTACTATGTGTTCATAGGGAAGTTAAAATAAACATTGATCAAATAATTGATAGATTTGGAAAAAGCGACAATGTAAAAAGACGTTTAGATTTTATAATTTAATATATAACATTGTTAAATTAAATAATCATTAATCTATTTATTACATTGATTACCTATGTCCTATATTTACCTACTATTATGACAGAATTTTTAAATTATGAATAAAATACCTATAAAAAAAAATTGTTGAGGCCCCCCCCAGATCTTTACTCTGGATCCGTGCCTGAGCTTATCGCATATGAAACTAATTATGACTAAGCGTACAACGTTAAGAAATTTTCTCAGAAAGTCAGAAATCTTGTTTTAAGAAACAATGGAAATATTAACAACCAGGGCTCGGAAGTTGTAGCACTAAAAATTTTATTTTTAAATTCTTAAATATACACTTAAAAACTCTAAAATATGCGCTATAAATAGCAAGAAAAATCAAAAAATATGCATTTATGTTGAAAAAATTATAAATTTATTATAAAAAAAAAATTAAATGTAATTTTACAAATATTTGGGCATGTAGACGTTTGTTCTGATTAAATTATAAACTTAACAAAAATGTTAAATTAATTAAATATATTTGTAAAAGTTTACTTATAATTAAATGATAGTATTTAGTCACTAATTATTAGTACATCAAATTGTCGATGAAAAAAATAAAATAATAATTGATGATGTCTATTTATTTCTAATAATTCAAATATTTTTAAAACTATAACTAATTAAATCATTATTATCAGCAAAATGTGATTATTTCCTGTATTATATGAAAATATACCCAGAAATAGCACTATAAATCCTAAATTAGCAAAATAACAATAAAACCCGTAAATATGCAAAAAATAGCAAATTAAATTTTGTGTATGATATCCAAATAGTTTGAAACATATTTGTATCTTGTTTTGGACGTTCTAGGATGAACCAAGAAAAATAAGCATTTACTAGAACTTCCGAGACCTGTTAATAACCAAATCCGAGGGGAACTATTGTTTAAATTGGTATTACATTTTGCGTTTGGATTCGCAAACCGTTATCAAGAGAGTCAAGAGTTGTGTATCTACAGTAGTACAGTTGTGAGTTGTTATTTAATCAAGCGCCAACCAGTGGCATAGCTATCATAGGGCAAAGCGGGACAGTGCCCCGGGGCTCCTTGGACATTTCTGAAACTATACTTCCCTAAAATAATTGACAATGTGTCATGGTGTTTAATATTAACTTTTCAAATCATACGTGGTGATTCCAGTAATAATCAGTATTGAAGTAGAATAATAATTCACGCAATATGCTTTTGTTTTGTTAAATACCTAATAAACTGAATTTTCTTTTTACCTTGCATGACTGTTAATTAATTTTATTTGTCGTTTCGTATTAAATAAGTATTCGTATTAAAAAAAAAAAAAAAAAAAAACAATAATATAGTTATAATATGATGTGTACAACTTGATTTTGCATGTAAAAATAATATTAGTTAGGGGGCCTAGTATATTTACTGAAATGGAGCCCTTTCGTGTGTACCTACGCCACTGTCACCAACTCTTGTGACACTGATTCGACTCGTTCAGTTCATTTTTAAGAGTCGACTCCTTGAGTCGATTAGCTCATGAACTACACATCCCTAATAATTTTAATTATGCGCGTTTAACCAACGCACGTCTTGTGGTGTGTAGCCTTATTGGCATTACTCATTTATTCATTGTTGTATGTTTGTACAATTTTTCAAGTGTGAACTGTGAACTCTTTTTAATTTTTAACTTTTTTACTCTTCCTAATGTAAATAATTATTTATTATATAAATATATTAATATTAAAAAAGTGAAAAGTGATGCCAAAAAAATTAAATTAAAATATGCAGCAGAAATCAAAATGATTGGAAATGATCCAAAACAAAAAAAAAATTGTATTTTGAAGACCAAAAGTTGTCAGTTGAGTCTTCTTTAACTACAACGCCAGTAAAGGTAAATAATAATGAATAATACATAGTACGGTATATTTCTACTTTACCAGGCACGGCACCCAAAATTTCGGATTTTTTCTTTTGCCAACTTATGTATTTTGTAACGCTGAAAACGATGGTGTAGACGAAAATTGGCGCAAATGATTAGTTTGGAATTTATAGAAAATATCAATAAAACTAAAAATATGCAAAAAAGTACAAAAAATATTACTAATGAGTTTGGATTCGAATTTAAAGAAAGTTCTACATTGATGAAAAATATTTTATGTTAAAAATAAATATTAATGTTAAATAAAAATTAATTAATCTGTGAAGGAGGCATTTGCCCCCCATGGCTCGTATTTTTTTTTTGAATATAATACATTGATTTATTTGAAAAATGTAATGTATGTATAAGTAATTAAGAATATAAATTACTAGTCTGTCGTTATAAATATGTAATCTTTATCACAGGAACATGAGCTGTAGGTTATGAACTGTAAATTATTTTTAAGTTTGTATTGAATAAAAATTAGTTTCGCTCCCCCCCCCCCCCTATGGCCTCAACTCAAATACGCCCTTGTTTAAAAGTGTAACTATTAATAGTGATAAGTATATATTATCATTGTGTTCTATATAAGTTTTAATCAGCAAAATTCAACATAAAAATATTGATTAATAAAATCTTCCGTAGATAAATCCTAGAGAAGAACACAAATTATAATGTCGAATATATTACATTTCAATAAGCTACAGTGATTGCAATAGAAATTATTTACCTGAAAATAGGGAGTCACGAACGAGTTATCAACCGCCACTATTATATCAGCTCGCATATTATGAACAGCTTCGGATAATTCTTGTACGTCTAACACTTGCGTCAAAGGATTCGATAAACTCTCAAACCATACGAGCTAGAAAAAATGAATTCCTTTGTAGTTTCATGATAAAAAACGAATATCCTTATTTTATATATTTTATTATTATGTAATGGATTTATGCGTAAATCAAATTGGATTTTTTATGCATGTATTTTGGAGGAACCTGGCTGAAAATGCAACAGAATGTAGAACTGGGAACCTTGTAAAAATTATAAACCAGAACTGTTGTTTCCAATTTTTAAAAACATAAACCATAACCCCATGGGCGTAGCTAAAATTTGAATCAGGGAAGGGCAAAAACATAAAATGATTAGTGTTAAACTCGTAATTCAAATAATCTACAGATAGACCATTGGATAACACATAAAACGTCAAAACGATTACATGTGTAGATATCACTCGGCCCCACTAAACTATTTTTAGAATTATATCTTATTTAATTTTTGATTTTAATGTAAAACTTACACGTTTGGTATAAACAAATATAATTCAGTTTGAGGCGCAGGGGTGGGCAAGTGCCCCCCCCTGCCCCACCCTCGCTACACCCATGCATAACCCGGGATAGGTATGTACCAGATTTTAAAAATTTAATTTTTGTTTTTTTATTTTATTTTTTGGTTTTAATGATTATTTTCGGTAATTTATTTTTATTTGTAAACAAATCGATCAGAGAAATTAATTGCATTAAATTATAACATTTATAAGCGTATACTAATTATATAGCTTAGTAATTACTCATTAGATAAAATGTAACCATCAAACGATGACGAAAACGTTACATATATATATTGTTTGAGTTTTAATTGTGTAACATTTTCGTCATCGTTTGATTGTTACATTTAGTCTAATAAGTAATAACTAAGCTATATAATTAGTACACACTTATAATATTATCATTATACAAATCACTTGTACCCACTTATGCTATACGATCTGTTTTTAGATGAAATAAAAATTAAGTATGTGTTTTATAATTTATTAATTACTAACTGTATATAATGAAATAATTTTCTTCTGCCCATAGATCTAATATATCTCTGTAGTATATTTCGTCGCAATCGGTCCAGCCGTTTAGGAATACAGACAGAAATCTATTTACATATATATATATATATATATATATATATATATAAATTGTAAAATTACAAATAATACTTGATATTATTGTTTGTGTATAGCTTTTAAGTTTTATCCATGGTAAACACTAAGAATTCGGTAAAACAATCGAACGAAATTAATTATTGAACATGTAAATTATTATTTACCTTAGTATTAAATTTTATATATTTGATAACATTTTCTTTGTTGGAGAAGTCAATGAAGTCGATAAAGATGCCTGCTTGCCGTGCCACTCCGTTCAGTAATCTATAAGTACCGCCATATACATCTTTGCTGCATAATAGATGATCTCCGGGCACTAATAGATTTACCATGGACGTAGTCGCCGCCATTCCACTACTGTAAGTCAGTGAGTATTCGGCGTGGTCTAATGTCATTATACATTTCTCTAAAACTGAACGGATTGGATTGCCACACCTTGTATACTCGAACCCCTGCACAAAAAATTCATCATCATAAGTATGTATTATTTATAAATAAATTATTAAAATGCATATATGATAGATATTGATAACGGTAACGACGGTCTATTGTAATATTATAAATTATCATTTAGAATTTCATCATTGGCAAATTGTCAATAATGTAAACATGTATTTATATATAAATAATATAAGTAGGTAAATTTCAGTAGATTAAAATATTTCAAACGTAGATGTTTATTCGGGTGTTGACCAGTTGCCCACCACGGCTGTTATCGGGATTTTTAAAATATACCAGTTGCCCTCGACCAAATGTACCAGTTGCCCCCAACTGAATGTACCAGTTGCCCTCACATGTTAATATATACACGATTACAATATATAGCCTGTAAAATAGGGG